ATCTTAGCTGTGGAGGGCAGTGTCACTGGCCCTCATATGTGTGATCCGAACCGGGGCCCTCTGGCGTCCCAAGCCAGTTCTTAACCATCACACCACTCGGCCGGTCCCATAAACGTTCTTATAGCCAGTGTTTTAAACTATGTCTCTGATAAGTTGGTTGCCTCCATTTCCTTTCATTCTTTTTTCTGGAGATTATTCCTGTACTTTTGTTTGGAACATGTTTCTTTGTGTCTTCATTCTGGAAGCCACTCTGTGTTTGCTTCTATGTGTTAGGTTGATCTTCTATGTCTCTTAGTCTTTGTTGGGTGGCCTTATGTAGTATGTGTCCTGTGTGGTCCAATAGCACAGTCTCTCTCATCACCTGTGCATGCTTTTCAGGAGTGTCCCTTGTGTGTTTTGTGTGTATTATTTTGTTATATTTGACCTTTGATTGCTTTTGTTGCATAAGTGGGTGGGATTGACTCTCAAGTTGACTGGCTGTGAGTATTGGCTATGCCTATAGCATATGAGCTGCTGTGTAGGGGCTGACCCCTCAGAGAGGGATTCGCCTCAATGTGATGTCTGTTGAGACCACACTTTGAGTTTGCCACATGTGGAACTAATTGGATATTTCTCTGGTGTGGTCTGAAGCTGGCCTCTAGGTGTACTGTTTCTGGTGTCACTTGGTAGCCCTCCCTTGCAGGCCAATTTCAGCCTTGACTCTGATTGCCCTGAGGCTACCTGGTAGGAACTACAAAGCTGTATTGAGTTGGCTGTGGCATGCACTTGACCTGGATGTCGATGTGGCTTGCCTCTCTGTGATCTTAAGTTGGCTGCCACCAGTATTGGGCCTGGGGCAACTTAGCAAAAAGCCCAGGGCCCTCCTAAGCCTGTTGCCACCTGCTGGCTCCCCATAAGGCCCAGCCACTGAATGAGTCTCTTTAGGTACAGGGGCCAGGCTGGTTGACCAAGTGTTGACAGTACTCCCTGCAATGCCACCTGAGTTAGGTGGGTCAGGGTCTCAGGGTGTCAGGGTGTGGCCAGTGGTTTTTACAAAGTTAATCCAGGTTTAGTTGTTGCACCAGTTCTGAGCCTATGGACACCCTGCAAGTTGCCCATACAGCCCTTTGGCCAGCCAACACTTATGTCAGGCCTTTAGGTCTCCAAGGGCCACCCAAGGATGGTTGCAGTGCAAGCTGTTTGAGCACAAGCCACCCCAAGTTTCCCAGGCTGCTTTGGGCCAACAACTACTATAAAAAGCTATAGCAGCTTGTGGGGTGGGCCTGGCCTTGCAGTAAGCAAAAGTGCCCCAGGAAGTGCCACACTAGCTGAGGGGGGCAGGCTCCCAGGGAGTCACCAAGGTGGTGTGTACATGGATTTTACTAGATCAATTTGGTCTCAAATTTGGCCCTTTGAAGGAGGGCTCAACACAAGGAAGATGGCACTCTCCTCTAGTATTCATGTGAGGTGGATTCCACACAAGGATAATAGCAGTTGTCCCTCCAGCCCTAAACCTGAAATCACACAACTCAGTCTTTCCCTGTATGTGCCTGGTGCCTCTTGAGTTGCCACCTCAGTGATGGAGCACAAGGTGAATTCTTACAAGTGAGTGAGTCTGTATGCAGGCCCTTTAAGAAGACATCTACGTTTCCAGCCACCTTCTGTCTCACTGGGACTGATGGATGAAAACCTCATTAATTTTCATTGCCAGATGTGTGGACTCCTCTTCCCGTCAGAGGACCCCTTGGCTGGGGACATTGATGTGGGGCTGGGACCCCTCACTCTTCATGGCATACTCTGCCACCAAGGTGTCCCTCACCAGTGCTCAATCACTACCTGTGGGTTTGCAGCAGCTTGTTTTGCATCTCAGCCTCTGCTACCAATCACGATGTGGCCTCTTCTTTATATCCATAGTTATAGGGGTTCTGTTCAGCTAGTCTTTGTATGATTCAAGAGTTTGACTGTTCTATAATGTAGTTGTCATTTTAGTGTGAGAGGCGGCTAGCATAGCATTTACCTATTCTGCCATCTTGTACCTTCTCCTGACTTCTAGTGTATTCTTGATTTCAGTTATTGTATTTTTCATTTCTGATTGGTTCTTTTTATGGTGTCTTTATCACTTTTTATGTTTACTATCTCTTTGTTGATGTTCTCCCTATGTTTTTTGAACATCCTTGCAACCAGTGTTTTGAACTCTGTATCTTATAGGTGCTTGCTTCCATTTTGTGTAGTTCTTTTTCTGGAGTTTTGTCTTTTATTTGGGACGTTTCTTTGTTTCCTCATTCTGGCTGCCTCTCTGTGTTTGGCTGTATGTATTAGGTATATCTGCTATGTGTCTGAGTCTTGGATGGGTGGCCTAATTTAGTAGGTGCCCTGTGGGTCAAGTGGCACACTTTCTCTCATCACCTGCACTGGGTGCTCCAGGAGTATCCCTTCTGTGGGTTGTATATGTCCTCCTGTTGTAGTTAAGCATTGAATGTTTTTGGCATGTCAGTGAGTCGGATTGACCCTCAGTGTGATTGGCTGAGGCCTGGCATGCCCACAGTATATTAGCTGCTGCGTGGGAGCTGATCCCACAGAGCAGGATTTGCCCCAATGGGCTCTGGTGCCTGCCAAGACCACCCTTTGGCTAACACCTGTGGGGCTAAGTAGGTGTGCTATATTGTGGTCTGAAGTTGGCCTCTAGTGTGTTGGTTCTGGGGCCTCTTGGGAGTGGACCCTCTCTAGGTCAAGGTCAGCTGCTGCCTGTTACTGGCCTGGAGCTACCTGGTCAAAGCTATAAAGCAATCTGTGGTTGGTCACTACCTCTGCTGAACCTGGAGCCATGTGGTGAGATCCCACAAAGTGAACCCAGAATGGCTACCACCAGCAACAAACCTGGGTCTGTTCAGCAAAAGGCCCAGGGCACACCAAGGCTAGCTGCCACCCACCTGGGACCTGCAGATCCCCTAGAGTTTCTCAGGAAAGACAGGCCAGGGCTGGGTCTCTGCTGCCAAAAGGGCCTCCTGTGGTGCTGGAGCAGAAGGCAACTGCTTGTTATTGAAAGAGCCTCCTGAGGTGCATGGGATATGGCTGGCAGCCTTACAACATTCAAAGTGCCAACTCATGAGTTGGGTGGTGTGGAGTCCCAGGGAGTCACAAGGGTAGGGTGATCAGAGTTCACCATGATTTGTCCTTGTGGGGGTAGGGCTCAACATAGGAAAGATGTCACACAACCATAATCTGCATAGGAAGATGGCTCAACACTGGGACAATGGCCGCTGTCCCTCCCGCCCTCTTCATAAAGCCACACAACTCAGTTTCTCCCTGTATGTCTATTGCACCTCCCGAGCCACCATCCCTCTTTTGGAGACTAGAGTGAGTGCTTGGGAGGGAGTGAATCTGTACACGTGCTCTTTAAGAGGATGCCTGGTTTTCCAGCAGCCTTCTCTCTCACTCAACAGATGGATACCCACTGTTTTTCATAGCCAGATGTTGTGGGGGTTCCTACCCCTGGCACTGGTGGTCTGGACTGGTGGTGTGGAACTGGGAACACTTGCTCCTCAGGGGGTGCCTATGCAGCCGAGATATCCCTTCTGATTCTCAACTGCCACACAAGGGTGCGGGGCCAGCCCGTTTCTCATCTCTGCCCCTCCTACCAGTCTTGATGTAGCTTCTTTATATTCTTAGTTATAGAACTTCTGTTCAGCTAGTCTTCAGATGGTTCTACAGATTGATTGTTCTATAATTTAGTTGTAATTTAATGTCGACATGGAGGGAGGCAAGCACAGCTTTTGCCTACTCTTGCTATTTTGGATTATTTCATTTATAAAAATTCTTATATTTTAAAGACATTCTAAGCTATATTTAAAGAAAATACTTGGCGATCTTTGGTTTTGATTATTTTGTTTAGTTTGCTTAAAGACTTCTAAATACATAATTATCTTTGATGTTACAACATGTATAGTATGTTTTTAAAGACATTTTTAAAAACTTAGCCTTAAAGTGTTTTCAGCTTTAAGATTCACATTTCATTGTTTTACCCAAACTTACATTGAACTTGTTTTTTTCTTCAATAAAAGGCTCTAAGTGAATTGTGCTTTGGTAAATATGTACTAGCAGTGTGTGAATGCATGTGTTTGGGTGTAGAGTAAGGGATGGTCAATGTAGTGAAAATAATAAAAAAATTGCTGAGCAAGGAGCAGAGCATGTTCACTAAAGTGTACTTTACATTCTCACTGAAGTAGTTGATATGCTGGCTCGTTTATGTCATAGAATAATACTATGCTATTATAAACAAAAGTTAAATTTCAGTAACATAAAATTTCAGATATTATTTTACTTTCAATCATTTATATTTTATGGTAAAGTATTTTGTTACATGTTGGACAAATATTTTATCTTTTATAAATACATGAAGGTGCTAATATTGGAAGAATCTATTCAAAGACAATACAAGTTATTTAGTTTGGTTCATTTAGTATTGTTATTTTTCTGGCTAGTTACATGATTGTCTTAGTTGCTTGACTGTATTTTCATTATAATTGCTTTTGATAAATTATTTCTAAGGAATGAAATCAAATTGCTAATAATTAGTGCAATGGAAATCATTAGTACAATAAAGTCGAATATTTTACATTGTCTTTTCATATTTTGCATTCACAGGCAATTTTGATCTGGTCACTTGTGAAATTCCAGAGACCTGTTTATGCTGGAATTCCATACCCAAACTGGGGAGTTGCTCTAGGCTGGTGTATGATTATTTTCTGCATTATTTGGATTCCAATTATGGCTATCATAAAAATAATTCAAGCTAAAGGAAACATCTTTCAAGTAAGCACATTAAATTAATATTATTTGTACTTCATGTAAAGTACTTATGATCAAATCAATGATTAATTTACCCAAATGGTGGCAATATGAAATTATGACAATGAGATCAAATTAATCACTCTTTCCTTTAGGCTACATCTATACCTTATACAAACATCCGTTATTATGTGTATAACATTGTATTATACTATACACATATTTGCATGTCTCCCTGTGCTAGACTATAAGCTCCTTTAATTAAGTGTCTTGTCTTGCTTGTTGCTGTAGCCTTCGGTCTTATTAGAGCACTTAGCACATAAAAAGTATGATCCATATACTTGTACTAAGTTGTTCCTCAAGAGGATGCAAAACAAGTGACCTTTTTACCTTATATCTATAATCTTCACTTTCAAAATCTGATCTGGTTATCATTCATGTCCTAATAGTATGTCTAGACTGGAAAAAGGCTGGTAAATTATCTTGAACACAAACTAGACTGAGGCATACCCCTATCATAGAGGCCTATGGGAACAGAGTTGATTATGGTATCTTACTAGGATATAGGACAATAACAAGGTAGGCTCAGGAATCAGATAATAAATTCCCAAACCCATCCAAGAATGGATCCAGATCAATGGTTTTATCCTGGATCTTTCTTTCTTTGGTTATTGAAACTTCCCAGGTATACAATGGTTTATATGGTCACCTAAATGTCACCCTAAAGCCAAGACAATGAAATTTAACATGATAAAATGAAAATGTATTTTTATATGGTTTATTTACAGAATGTAGAAATTGATTTCTAAGATAAGCTTTTTAAAATTGTTTTCATTTTAGCGCATTGTAAGTTGCTGCAGACCAGCTTCTAACTGGGGTCCGTACTTGGAACGACATCGTGGGGAGAGATATAAAGACATGGTAGACCCTATCAAAGAGACTGATCATGAAATACCTACTGTCAGTGGCAGTGGAAAGCTAGAATGAGATCTAATTTTTAAAAACATGCACTTGTGTAATATGATTAGCTTAGAATAGAAGAAAATTTTATTTATTTGTATGTTAATCAAGTAGAAAAATGTATATATTGTGCTCATAATAGTAGAACAAGCTTTTTTCCCAATTTAAGCAGGAATGTATATCAAAATGTGAATCTACTCATGTTTAGCAATGTGTTTATTAAATTTCTTTTTAGATTATCTATCTGGATAACACACACACTGCTGTCTCTATTTCACAATAACATTTTTGTACATATTACCATAATATTTTTCTAATGTATTGACAGCATTATTTTGAGCTGGTTATTCAGAAAATAGTTATATTTTATATTATGCAAGTTTTTAAATATTACTTGCTTATATTTTCTTGGTACACAGTCTTTCTTTTCTATAAAGCTGGAGAAAATAAATCACATATTTAAAAAGAAGTGTTAAAATTGAAAGCCTCACTTAATTAGAAATGTCATAAATACATGGGGAAAATGGATTATGTATATAATATGAAGACTGTATTTTAATACTTTTGATCCAATATGTCAAAAAACTTCATGTAGTTATGGCCCACTTTTTCTATGTGAACTTAGTAGTTATGTTCTTTATTTACAAATAGTGAAATAAGATAGAAAAATAAGGATCCTATGGCCAGTAAGTTGTAAATACAGAAAATGGAATCGAGAATCTTTGAGTACTTCTTTCCCTATATGATGTATCCCTTAAGTTATATTTAGAAAAGTATGACCCATTTAATTTATACTGTATTTTACAAAATTAAGTTCATTATACTCTCTGAAATCTAAGTTTAATTTTAAATAGAACATAGAACAAAATACTAAGAGTAAATTGCTTTAATCAAATATAAGATCTTATGTTGTAATATAGTTAGTAGATCAAGTAGAGTGATTTTTGTCTTATTGAATAAGTTACTACTACAGCTGGTAACTTATTTACATACTTATAGGAGATAAACTTGTTAAACTTGTCAAGAACAAGAGAAGCCAAATTACAAAGTCCTATGCCCAAGTTTCCTTACAAAAGATTAAACTTTATTATATCACTAATTGTTTTATACACTGATTACATGTCAACAATTGGTTTAAGCATCACAGCCTAGTAATATGAACATTGCCACAATATGTAAGAAACTTTTCAGCTGTTCTTAAGGTTCTTAACCTGGGCTTCAGAGAATGTATAGAACTGCAATTATATGTAATATTTTCCATGAACATGAATTTTTCTAGAGGGAGAGTCCATAGTTTTTATCAGAATATCAAAGGGATCTGTAACTCTAAACAGTTTAAGAATCACATATGCCACTGCTGGCTTTTGTTCTTGGCAAGTAAGGAATAAAAGGGATAATTTTAAACCTTCATTTCTTATACATTTCAATTTTTTCCCTTTTGATGGAAAGACTAAAGTAGAAAGTGATTAAGGTATTTCTTCTATTTATACTGGTAATTTGTTTTGGAGAAGAGGCATGAAAATAGATAAATATGTAGGCCTGTAATTGAACAATCTCAGTGAGTTACATACATGTGTATAAAAGGTGAATTCATGTTAGATATTTTGAGGTTTTTCTTTGAGAGTAGGTCAAATGCTGTTAGTGAACTTGGACAGATTGTTAATTCCTCAGTTACCCTGGATTTTATAAAATGTTATATGAAATAGATGGGTGACTAGAGCTTAGAAACATTTCTTTCTTAATTTTAGTGCATATTACATCACATGGCATTATAATTTGGTGCTATTTGAGGTGTGACTTTTTCACCAAGTAGAAAAATGCATTCAGTTTTCTATAGGTGAGTCTTGCAATTCAGAAAAGATTGAGGTACATTTCTAATGAAATACTATCTAATTGGATGTGTGGGGGTCAAGAGCTGACCATGAAGAGTGTGTGTGTGACTATTTTCACAAGGGTGTAAAACACAGATCTTAACAGAGTGCCTGGTGTATTTTAGAGTGCTCAATAATAGCTCTTATTATTATACAGATTCCACAGTGGTAAGAAAGAGTATTATGCATAATTGAAAGTATCCCATCAAATCCTGTTTACTTTAATGCAAACTTGGAAACATATTCAGTAGTATATTATAAACCATTGGAGAAAAATGTTTTTCACACTTGAGTGAAATTAAAATCACTATATGTCAACTATATTCTCTTGACTCTAGCTTATTAAAAAAACCTTTTGAATGACTTTTCTTTCTTTACTGTGCTTTCATTCCTTTCCTGGTAAAATATATATTAGCAACATCGAAACAATTGTTTAAATGTGAGTAAGCAAATTGATGAATGTCTAGATTCTGTATCTGATTTGGCATCCCCTATTCTTTTAAACAATAATTCATTTGGAATAAACACATATAATCAATTGAATCCACTCAAAGTGCCTTTAATGTTTGCCTCTAATGTCAGTACATTCTCTAAGCATGCCAATGGACTTCCGGTTAACTAATGCATCTTTCACAGCCTTAATAATTAGGATATGTTCCAATTCAGCCAGCTTGTATTCCACGATGCTGAGGTTTACCAATATTTTCTTCTGCATGGCTATTGAGTGTGGTAAATTAATGAAGACATCCTGAGAAAGGCTGTTGACTGTAAGACTTGCATTAGTATTGCTCTTAGTTGACCAAGTAAAAGAGGATGGTCTTACTAGTGCAAGAGAAGATGAATTTGATGACATTTCACCAATGTTTCTCTGTAAGGGAAGGAAATTATACATATGTAGTTTATTGTGTTTAGCAATTGGCAAAGACTACAAAATAACAAACATTCTTGGTCTTGGTTACCGAAAAAAACTGACTGTGGTCCCCTAAGAAATAGAGTTTAAAAATCTGTTCAATGACTACTTTGATTTGGAAATATGTTCTTCCCAAACACAGACTGAGGGAAATAATATATATGAAAGTGATCTTTTAATGCTAAAATGCCATACCTTAAACAAATAAAATAAAATAAAATGCCATATCCTTGCCTTACATTTCTTGGAAAGTCCAGTAGGTCTGTATTGGGACTCTGTCTGACCCTTACCTAAAAGAACTTCACTTGCAGCTTTAAATATCATGAGGAATAGCACATGTTAACTTAAATTATTTGTGAATGCCCCAAAATTTCTCATAAAAATGGCTGACAATGAAAATACAGGGGAGGAAACGGAAACACAAGGACAGTAGAAGCCAGAGAAGGCACAGATTCTTAAAATGGGAGGTGGTGTGGTGTGGAGTGGGCACTTTCAAATGTAGTTTTCAAGTGGGTGAAAAGCTGACCGTGTCACTTAGTGACCTGGGGCATTTTACAAGACAACAGCTGTCAAATCACTGGTCAAGATGAGAGAAGTGTGGGGGTAAAGAATAAACATCTGGAGCGCTTTCAATAGAAAATGTGGAATGAGGAGACCTCCCCTTAACCCTATTTTACCATTTTCCTATCTTTCTACTCTCTTAGACACCCCCCTCAATCCATGCAGTCATTAAGCTTCATCTCTTTCCAATCTCTCTTACACACTTTACCTGAAAACGTTTTTTCCAAACAACCATACAGGCGAACAAAAGTCCACCAACTAGGAGGAACAGGATGCTCATGACTCGTCTTTGGTCTCTTCTATCGTCAATCTTCTGGGACACAAAGGCACTGGGTGGGCAGCGGGCCGCTAGCCACCCGGACTCGGGAAGCCCCGGGGCAGAATGTTAAGCGTCCTGCACTGCCTGCTGCAACTGGGATGGGCTTCAGTGTCCCGCTTTATACACTAGGAGAGGCCCTGTGACCTCACAATTGAACACGCACGTAGGGGGCGCTGCATCATAATCTGAGGACGCAAAATCCAGCCTGCAGTAAACCAGGCGGCACTTGGTTAAGAATGTCAGGTTGCTAGGGAAGGTGAAATGTGGTAAAGTATGGACTCTAAGTTGGCTGGTTAAATGCAAGATTTTCAAAGTACTTTGCCTCCTTTCTTTTTAAAAAAGATACGTTTGTTTTTGCTGCATTTCAAAAACAAGTTCAAAACAAGATAGAAATGCACTGGAAAAAGGAGTTACCCACGAATTGTAAGACTGCCAGAAACCTCGTCTACACTCCCATTCCTATTTTAGGATTCACTCCAACATTATTTGCTTTGAGATAATTATGCACATTTGTGTCATTGTACAGGTTAAAAAGTAATTCCAGGGACACTTTCCCATTTAATTCTCACAATAATTTGTGCTATAGGTATTTTTAATACTGCTTCTACTTTTGGCAATGCAGAAACAGATTCAGGTGTCAAGAAAATGCATTTGAAGCTAGTAGCAAGAGTAGGACCCGAATCCACAAAGTTTGAGACCTGAGGGAAACTTCCCCATTCTCTCACTCTCATCCCCATTCTTGAAATCTCTACCTCCACTGGCTGACTGGTGAGCATCAAGTATTTCACATTCACCACCCAAGGAATTGAACACTATATTTGGAATAGTATTAATGAAAACTAACAGGTACAGGAAACATTGTACTAAACAAGTTAGGAATGTTCAAGAAATATACAAGATGAAACTGAACTGAAAACAATAGCTAGGATAACCTGAAGATGAGTGTCAAATTGCAGCTCACAAACTCTGCTTGCAGAATAACTCTCATTTTTATGTAGATGGGAAGGAGAGGAATTACATTTATATACTTTTTGTATCAAACTTACTTCCCAATTATGAGTTCAAAGCTTAAAGACTAATTATTCTACAAGTGTTTATTAAACACCCATGTAAAGGGTGGGCACTGTAATATAGTCTGGGAATATGATTATGAGCAAAACATAAAGTCTGTGCTCACCTAGAATGTGCATTCTAGTGTGGGAGACAGACGTTAATCAAATACCCACAGAAATGAATGTAAAAGTGCTAATGAGATAACCATGTATCATATTTGTTCTCAGAGCATCCTGGATCTGTGGGTTCAGGTCTGACATTAAATTGGGGGAAATTATCAGTCCTTACTGCTTCAAATATTTCTTCTTCATCTCCTCCTCCTCCTCCTCCTTCTCCTCCTCCTCCTCCTCCTCCTCCTCCTCCCTTCTTTTTCTGGTATTCCCACTGGGCATATGTTATGCCTTTTGTAGTGGTCCCAGTCATTGGTATTCTATTCTGGTTGGTTTTTTTTGGTCTTTTTTTTCTCTTTGCATTTTAGTTTTGGAGATTTCTATTGACATATCCTCAAGCTCAGAGATTCTTTCCTTAGCCAAGACCAGTCTACTTATATACCCATCAAAGATATTCTTCATTTCTATTATAGTGTTTTTGATCTCTAGTATTTCTATTCATTTTTGTATTTCTGAGACTTTTCATCTCTCTCCTTATATTACCCACCTGTTTTTGCATGCTGTCTCATTTTTACATTAAAGGACATAGCATATTAATCATAGTTGTTTTAAATTCCCAGTCTGATAATTCCAACGTTCATATTATACCTGAGTCTGGTTCAGATGCTGCTTTGTCTCTTCAGACTGTGTTGTCCCATTTAACATGTCCAATAAGTTTTATTTTGATACGCAGACATGATGGATTGAGTAAAGGCCCTTTAGAAATGTGGTGGTAAGGTGTGCATGTCGAGGCGGGTAAAGGAAACATCTATAGTCCTATGTTTAGGTCTTAAAGTTTTAGTGAGTTTGTACCTATAGATTATGAACTTAACGCATGTTTCTTAGTCCCCCCTCTCCTTAGGAGGGACAGAATGGCTAGAGTGTGCTGGAGTTCAGTATTTCCCTTCTCTTATGTGGAAGGCTAAATGAGGCTGAAGCTGAGTATTTCCTTTTTTCCATGGAAAACTAGAGCCAGCTGGAATTGGGTATTTACACTGCCCGATCTTGCTTAGCCTTTGACAAGAACCCAGCAGGTTAGGCTCTGGCTAAATAGTTTCTACTGTGAGCAGAAACTATTAATAAGAATAAGAGAGACCTCAGGTCCGCGCTCGCTCACTCTCAGCGCGCGCTCGGCGGCCCGCCGACGCGGGAGTCGCATGCGCGGGACAAGGCGAGCTGCGCTCCCTGCCGCTGGGCGCCGGCTCACTGAGGCGGCACCGTCGGTTCAATGCCCCGAGAGGGCTGGGGCTGCGGAATCTACGGCCACCGAGGGGCGGCGGCGGCAGGAAAGATTAAGAACGAAATTGCTGCTGTTGTCTTCTTTTTCACAAGGCTAGTTTGAAAACATGATAAGTTGAAAAAAGAGGCTGTTGAGAAGTTTGCTGAGAAATTGACTCTAATACTTCAAGAAAAATACAAAAATCACTGATATCCTGAAAAAAAACATCAAAAGGACAGGCCTACAGATACATTCGTGTCAATACGTTTCAGAGAGTTGATCCTGACATCTTGAAAGCCTGTGAGAACAGCTGCATCCTGTAGAGTGACCTGGGCTTGCCAAAGGAACTCACTCTATGTGTGGACCCATGTGAGGTGTGTTGTCGGTATGGAGAGAAAAACAACGCATTCATTGTTGCCAGCTTTGAAAATGAGGATGAGAACAAGGATGAGATCTCCAAGAAAGTTACCAGGGCCCTTGATACGATTACCTCTGATTATCATTTAGGATCCTCTTCTTCAGATGAAGAAACAAGTAAGGAAGTAGAAGTGAAACCCAATTCTGTGACTGCCACCCCGAGCCCCATGTACCATATTTCAGAACTGATATTCCCACCGCTTCCAATGTGGCACCCTTTGCCCAGAAAAAAGCCAGGAATGTACCAAGAGAATGGCCCTCAGAGTCACTACCCTCCTCCTGTTCCATTTGGTTATCCAAATCAGGGAATGAAGAATAAACCATATCGCCCAATTCCAGTAATGTGGGTACCTCCTCCTGGAATGCATTGTGACCGGAATCACTGGATTAATCCTCACATGTTAGCACCTCACTAGCTGCTTTCCATTCTGTTGGTGTTGAGAAGGTAGAATAAGCCTGACTACATGTTAAAAATTAAAAGTTGATATTCATAGTAGTAATGTTAGATGGGTCAAACCATCAAACTTATTTTTATAGAGAAGTTATTGAGAATATCTTTCTTAAAAATATATATGCACTTTAGATACATCGATATAGTTTGAGAAACTTTATTGAAGTTAGTCAAGTGCCTGAGTTTTTAATATTGGACTTGAGTATTTATATATTGTGCATCAACTCTGTTGCATACGAGAACACTGTAGGAGTGGACGATCTGTTCTAGCACCTTTGAACATTTACTTTATGGAGAGTATGTAAGTTATTTATACACAAGGAAATATATTTTATGTCATTTAGAAGAATTGTGTGAAATCATGTAGTTGCAAATAAAAAGTAGTTTGAGGCATGACAAAAAAAAAAGAATAAGATAACTCTCTGGCATATTTTGTGATGGTTCTCTTTTCATTCCCTTGCCAGAAGCATGAGAGTATTTTTCTCCAATATTCACTGTGATCCCTTGGTGGAGATATAGGTAGAAGAACTCTCAAAAGTTGAAAACTGCTGATGACTGGGTCCCCCTAAAGTTCTTATCTCTCAGACTTGTCCACAATGAGTCTCCAGCAATTTGTCAATTACAGTTCATGTTTTCTTACCCTAGCACTGTTTCCCTATTTGTTAGTTTCTGTTCTAGTAAGCAGTGATTCTTTGTATTCTCCTTTTCCTCTAATTTGAGGGGCAACATTTGCCCTGTGACCTCATTTCTCCTATTGATATAAGAAGATTTGTTGTTTTTTTGTTTGTTTGTTTGTTTTTATGTTCGAAGGTCTTTATTCTATTAGATCCAGAGAAGAATTCTAGAAGATGAAAAAGAATCACAAAACATAGCACAATTTTGGTTAAATAATAATGAAATATATGGATAGGATCTTGTTTTAAAGTTTTGTCGTATATATTCCAAAACAGACAATTATACAGTCTGCAATAGATGAGGATATCAGTAGGGGCATATAAAACTGTACCCTTGAGCTCCAAATGACTAAGTTGGAAGCGTTCAAATTGCAAGAAGGGACAATTCAAGGCTGTAACGGGCTTAGTGCTGCTATTTAAAGTAATGAAGCATTTTCTATGCTTTCTGGATTCATTTCACCAAATGATTTCCTCAGTGGGTCAGATATAGTTTTGCAGAAAGTGGAAAACATTTTCCAGGAATAAAACAACTGATTTCTAAGGAGCAGCTGATTTAACTTTCCCAAAGAATAAATCTTGGTCCAACACGCCTAGATTTCTCAGAGTGCGGTCACTGATATTCTCCACCACTTCCTAACCTTGCCAGACCCCTTAGACTTCATGGCACTGAACTCTAGTGTTGAGAGGGAATCACTGTACTAGCTGTGTGACCTTGAGGAAGCCACTGAGCTGCTTTGTGCTTTAGGGTTTTTGGCTCTAAAATTGGGATAACAATAGTATCTACCTCATGGAGCAGCTAATGAGGATTAAATAAGTGCTTAAAAAGACCTCAGCACATAGTAAGTACTCAGTAAACCTCAGCTATTATTATACCATTCCTGTTATACAGCAAAGGTTTTCCCCGGTATCAACAATGAACATTTTGCTCATTTTTTTTCTTATAAGCAAAGCCTTAGTTCAGAATGCCCAAGTCTGTTAGATCTGAAGGGGAAACAATT